TTTCTTTCTGCGACACCGTTTTGTTGTGGGGTGTCAACACATATAAATTCATGAAGAATGCCATGTTTACTAGTGAAGTTGGAGAAGGTATGATTGACATATTCTTTACCATTTTCAGAACGAATTCTTTTTATAAATTTCCCAAATTGTGTTTGTACCATATTATAAAATTGGATAAATATTTGTGGTACTTCGGATTTAGTATTCATCAAGAAAATCCAAGTTACCCGAGTACAATCATCAATAAATGAAACAAACCATTTTGCACCAAAAATATTAGAGGTAGGGGCAGGTCCCTAAACATCAGAATGAATCACATCAAAAGGTTCAGCACTTTTATTAAAACTGGAAGGAAAAGTTACACGATTGTGTTTTTCCAACTGACAAACATCACACTTAAAAGACTCAACAAAATGGTTTAAGAACAATGACGGAAACATAGACTTAATTATATAAAATGAAGGGTGACCGAGACGCTTCTGCTGAAGCCAAATTTGTGAGGCTGAAGAGGAAGACTGAGACTGGAGACAAGAGGACAACACCTTTGGATGATCATCAGAGAAGTAGTATAACCCTTCCTTTTCCTTAGCAATTCCAACCGTCTTCCCCGTTGTAAGGTCCTGAAAAACACAATGGGACGTAAAAAACATTACTTTACAATTTAGATCATGGGTAAGCTTATGGATGGAAATTAAATTGTGGGAAAGTGTGGGAACATGAAGCACAGATTGCAACTGAAATGGAGGTTGCAAGTCAATATTTCCAGTGCCAACAACACAAGCATGAGAGCCATCAGCAACAGTGATATAAGGAGTGCTCGAAGGTGTGGTATAAGAGTATAATAATGTGGAATCAAATTCCATATGATTAGTAGCACCAGAGTCAAGGATCCACATATTCTTAGGGATATTACCACAAACAGTAAAAGATCGGGAACACAAACTCTTACCAGTAACTGCTAGAGACCCAAAACCAGAAGGCTTACTCATGGAGTCAAGCATAGACTTCAATCGTTCCATGTCATTCTGACTGAAGGAGGAAAGACCAGTTCCCCTCTTTTCAAATCTTTCAGTATCATGGGCATGTGTGGCAACATGTGCCTGATGCTGGTGCATGTTGCAAGAACTAACTCCTCGGCTAAGAACCTGCCCTCCCATGTAGTTTGAAACACCTATCCTTTGTATGCCCTGATCGGTTGCAATGCTCACAATAGAATTTGTCACGACCATTCTTAGATGATAATGATGGTGGTCCTTGTCTTGTTGTTTTGCTAGCTACTAGTGCTGACACATCCGGGAGCTGTTCATGAAGCATAGCTTGACGACGAGTCTCCTCACTACGAACAGTGTAAAAAACTTCATTAAGATCAGGAAATTTTTCCTTACCCAAAATCTGCACCCGAATAGGGTCAAATTCAGCATTAAGGCCTGCTAAGAAATCAAAGATCCTATCCCGCTCAACAACAGTATTTAAGGTGGCAGTATCCTTGTTGCACTCCATCTTCAAATTCTGATATTGATCCAACTCAATCCAAAAACCATTGAGAACTCCAAAGTAATCGTTGACCGAAAGACTTCCCTGCTTAGTGTTGAAGATTTTCCTCTTTAAATCATAACAAGCAGACATATCTTGTTTCATGGAATAATTTCGACGAAGATAATTCCAAACTGCCTTTGCACTTGAGAGATACATGCAATTTCTACTAATTTTTGGAGATATGGAGTTCCAAAGCCAAGTAATAATAGCAGAATCATCTTTATCCCAGGAAGGGAAATTAAGAGCAGTAACCAGAGGAGGATTGCCTTCAATATGATCTAGCATGTCACAACATTTTAGAGTGTGTCTGATGAGCTGAGACCATTGAAAATAATTTTTTCCGGTAAGCCAGTAACCTTTTTGAACGAAAAAATCCTTAGCATTAAATGGGACTGGTGGATTTGTGGGAGGTGGAGGCGGAGGTGGCTGTTCGTTAATAATCTCGGCCAGTGAAGGGACAATCGAGAGGAACAAACAGACAACAATGATCCAAACACAAAAAAAAAAAACTGCAAGGATGACCGGCAGTGAAAGAAAGAAAAAAACTCCGTTACAACGGCGGCTAGGGTTTATGCGGAAGCGAGACCCCCAAAAAACAGGAGCTCTGAAACCATGTTGAAAAATATTTCACTGATAGAATAAAAGTTCTGTTTACAATGTTGCAACTACATGCTTTAAATAAGAGAGAATAGAAAACCTAATGGGTTTTGACTAATGGGCCTCATTACTAATACTACTAATTATTATTTACAGTCTAATATTTACGGTCTTGATATAAAGAAATGTTTATCTCTGTTTGTCAAATGGGCTTTCGAGGAAGGAGAAGAAGAAAAGTATCCAAATCTAGTAGAGATCGGAAAAGAACTAGTGAAAAAATGTGTAGGGGTTTCACTAGCCGTGACAACATTAGGAAGTTCTTTTTTTTTCAAACTATGCTTTAAACAAATGGATATATGTGAGAGATTATGAGATGTGAAACTTAGATCAGAAGAAAGATGATATTTTACCTGCACTAAAGTTAAGCTATGATCAAATGCCATCTTATTTGAAGCAATGTTTTGCTTTTTTTTCCCTTTATCTCAAAGGTTTTACCTTCTATAGTGATGAGATTATAAATCTTTTTACATCCCCTGGGTTAGTTCAACCTCGAAATGGAAGTGAAAAGATAGAGAGTATTGTAAGAGAATATATAGATGAGTTACATTCACGATGGTTTCTTGAGGAGTTGAGAGACTATGGCTACTGCTACAAGTTCAAAGTACATGATTTGATACACGATCTTGCTATATATGTTGCGAGAGACGACTTTGTATTGGTAACCTCTGATACTCAAAGTATACCAGAGCAAGCAAGGCATTTATCAATTTTAAAAAATGTTTTACTTGACTATACTTTGATTCCAAAGTCCAAAAGAGTGAGAACTATATTATATCCAGTTCAAGGAGTGGGTCATAAAAGTAAAAATCTTTTGCATACATGGATATTAAGTTAAGATACAGATTCTTACTATACTTAGACTTAAGTAGTTCTTCATTTCAGATTCTACCAACCTCAATATCCAAATTAAAGCACCTGTGTGTTCTCGATATTCGAAGTAACCGCCAAATCAAAACACTTCCCCGCTCTATTTTCAAACTCCAATATTTGCAAGTTTTGCCCCTCACTGGATGCACGGAACTTGAAACATTGCCCAAAGGATTCCAGAAGTTGACAAGCCTTCGAAAGCTGTATATTACCACAAAACAGTTTTCTCTGTCACTGGAAGAATTCGCAAGCTTGAATCATCTTCAAGCTTTGGGGTTATATCATTGTGACAATATGAAGGTTTTGGCCAGCGGGGCACAGACACAACTCATTTCTCTTGAAGCATTGTATATTGAATCTTGTAAGAGCTTGGAGTCTTTCCCTCCATATTTTCCCGAAATTGCAAACTCTGGTAATTAAAGATTGTCCGATGTTCAACCTGTCGATGAATTATAAAGGCCCAATCCAGAGGCAGAGATTGAGGTTGAAACATCTGCATCTTAAGAGTTTTCTACAACCTTTGAAACTGCCCAGATGGATTGAAGACGCAGCAGAGACTTTAGAAACCTTGAAAATTCGAAAGTTTCCAAATCTCAAGATGCTTCCTGGGTGTCTAACAGAAATGACTCATCTCAAGAGCCTCTATATTGAATCATGTCCTCAACTTTTGAGTCTTCCAAGTGACATGCACCGTCTCACTGCACTTGAAGAACTTTGCATTTATCGTTGTCCTGAATTGTGCCAAAAATGTCGGCCCCCATCTGGAGAGTACTTTCGCATGATTGGCCGCATCAAGTGAGTTTCCATTGGAAAACATTAATATAGGCATCAAACTTGAAGGTAAACATTTCGAGTTTTCATATTTTGTTTAAAATTTGTGTATATTTACTTATTTTATGAAAAAAATAAGCTTAGAGAAGAAATTTGCAGTAACATCTGCTTTATTTACAGGGCAAGGTAGATGATTTGTGGGTTCAGCATAAGCACCAATAGTTGATTATTTTGGAGGAAATGATTGCTAGCAAGGAGCTTTACAGTCTCAGGATGTTTGTTTCCATCTGCATGTATAATTATTCTCTTTCATTCTACATTCTCAGTACTCACATACATATTTGTAAGAATTCAACATTTGTCATGTAATTATGTTCTAATTAAACATGTTCTTTTACCATACAATCCAACAATAACTCAGATGAAAAATCACAAGGAAAAAAAAAAGAAATTCATAGGAAAGAGCTTCTTTGTTAGCCGCTGTCTTGCAAGACATTTTCACTAGAATTACAATCATCAAATCAGCATTTAAAATCTGGAATTTTTTCAAGAAAGGAGATGAGAGAAACAAGCACCGAAGCATTGAATATGGTCAGAGAGTTTGAAGCATTGAAGGATTAAAATCTAGTTTAATTATGTAATTTACATTTAATAAGACTCTTAACTTTTAAGTTTCTAAGAGAAAAGAGCCCTGATAATTTGAAATTTAGCTGGAGGGTAAGTAAAATCTTATAAAAAATTATTTCAGTCAAGATTTGAATTTAGGTTCTCTTAAACGATTCGTTTGTAACAGCTTCTCATTAGCAATTTGAGTACAACCAATTAAACAAGCATAGCAAACAATGTTTTATTACTTCCTCGTCAAGTTATGTTTTTTCTCTTTTGCAGTAACAATATTTTAACACATTCATAAAATTTGTTTCCTCATTCAAAACCACAAAATTCATGCAGTACATAAACCCGTGTTTTCTCATTTCCACTGTTATAAGATAATTGGAGGTTCACTCAATAATGTTTTACATTACACACTGGAAGACAAAAAAGAGAGTGAAGAAAAGTTTGTATATTATAAATGTTGACTTGACTATTATATAGTATTAGGCATAGCCAGTAGCCACCACAACCACAAACTTTGATACAAACATAACTTTTGCTCTTTCTTCATTAACATGGCTGAATCATTTGTTTTCCATATTGCTAATTCACTCTTATGGAAGCTTGGTTCTTATGCTTATGAAGTGTCAAGAATTCTTGGCTTAATACTTTTCTCATTATTATTTCTCGTATATATAGAGGTTACAGGGCTATATTGGTAATTACACTAAATAATTACATTTTAATGAGAACAAGTCAATTTCTAATTTGTTTCCTTTATTCTAGAAACAAACCCTTATTCTAGGAACAAACCCTTATTCACATCCCCCCTCAAATTGATGCTGCTTGTCAATAAGCATCAATTTGCTAACAAGAAACTGATGACGTGGACGCGGAACAGCCTTGGTAAGAATATCTGCAATCTGCAACTGAGTACTGACATGAGGAAGTGATATGATTCGGTCATCATAAGCATCACGAATTGAGTGACAGTCAACTTCAATATGTTTGGTGCGTTCATGAAAAACAGGATTCGCAACAATTTGGATGGCACTTGTATTGTCAGCATAAAGCGAAGTTGGCTCTATTTGAGGAAATCCAAGTTCAGCCAAAAGACCACGAAGCCAAATTATTTCAGAACAAGCAGCAGACATGGCACGATACTCAGATTCAGTAGAAGATTTAGAGACTCTCGCTTGTTTCTTACTTTTCCATGAGATCAATGAAGAGCCAAGAAACATGCACCAACCAGTGACAGATCGTCGAGTATCAGGACACCCTGCCCAATCTGCATCACTATAAGCACTCAATTTAGGAGCAACTCCACTAGGAAAGAATAAACCACGATGAGAGCTTCCCTTCAAGTAACGAATTATACGACGAACTGCTGCCAAGTGAAGGTGGCGAGGAGAGTGCATGAATTGACTTACTTGTTGAACAGCAAACGATATGTCAGGGCGAGTAATAGTCAAGTAATTAAGGCTACCCACGAGTTGACGATACAATAAGGGATCAGGCAACAAATCACCATCATCACGATGATATTTAACATTAACCTCAAGCGGAGTATCCACTGGATTAGCCGATTGGAGACCAGCCATGGAAATTAAATCTGTGGCATACTTGTGTTGATGGAGGAATATGCCCTTGGATGTAGAATGAACCTCAAGACCAAGAAAATAATGCAAATTACCAAGATCTTTCATATGAAACGCTGCTTGTAACTGCTGTTTAAGGCTTTGAATGGAAGCATGGTCAGAACCAGTAATAATCATATCATCAACATACAGAAGAAGTAGGACAATTCCAGTAGACGTTCTATGAATAAATAGAGAAGAATCATACTGACTCTGAGTAAAGGAGAACCCAAGTAGAGTGGAGCGGAATTTTTCATACCATGCTCTAGGTGCTTGTTTCAAACCGTATAAGGAGCGTTTAAGCTTGCACACACCCTTAGATGATGAAAATAAACCTTGAGGAGGAGTCATATAAATGTCTTCCGCGAGGTCACCATGAAGAAAAGCATTTTTCACATCTAATTGATAAAGAGCCCACCCGTTAGAAGCAGCTATAGAGAGTACCGTACGAACGGATGTCATTTTAGCAACCGGTGCAAATGTCTCATCATAATCAATTCCATATTCCTGCTTGTTTCCTAAGGCAACCAAGCGAGCCTTGAAACGGTTGAGGGACCCATCCGAATTCAATTTCACAGAATACACCCATTTGCAGCCAATGGGTTTGACATCTGGAGGACAAGAGACAATATCCCATGTGAAATTCTCTTGAAGAGCTTGAAGTTCCTCATTCATTGCTTTTATCCAACGTACATCTTTAACAGCCTGTGAATAACAAGTAGGAATAGATATGCCAGAGAGGGTGGCAGTCAGAGAAGTATGTGCTGAATCATACCTGTCTGGTGAATATCTGTCTGGTGCTCGAGATATTCGAACAGAACGTCGTGGTTCAACCGTTACAGGATCAGGTGGCGGTTCAGCGTCGGGAAAGGGTGTGGGAACCTGCTGTTTGTGTTTTCTGACATATACATGACCTGGTTTATAACGCTCTATAGATTGAGGCATAATAGAGAACTTAGGAAGAGTAACAATATCATTCATGACAGGAGAAACGCATGGAAACATAAACTGATTATCAAAAAATGTCACATTCCTAGAAATGCGAAAACGATGGTTAGTGACATCATAACACACAAATCCCTTATGTGAGTGACTATACCCCATGAACGCACATTGAACAGACTGTGCTCCAAGCTTATGTCTTTCAAATGGAGGTAAGTGCACAAAACAAACACATCCAAAAATATGTAAATCATTATAACTAGGCTGAATTTTAAAAAGGCGAAAGAAGGGAGAATCAAAATCAATAACCGTAGAAGGAAGACGATTGATCAAGAATACGGCTGTGGAAAGAGCCTCAACCCAAAATCGGGATGGCACAGAAGCTTGAAGAAGTAATGTGCGTGTTACATCAAGCAAATGACGATTCTTTCGCTCTGCCATCCCGTTTTGTTGAGGGGTATTGGGACAAGACCGTTGAGACAAGATCCCTTTTTGTTGAAGGTATTCCTGAAATGCATGAGACATATACTCACCTCCCGAGTCAGATCGAAAAATTTTAACACTTGCTTGAAATTGATTTTCAACATATGTCAAAAACTTCTGAAACATAGAAAACACTTCAGACTTAGATCTAAGAAAATATATCCAAGTAAAGCGGCTGTAATCATCAATAAATGTGACAAAATATTTATAGTGAGCATGAGATGTTGCAGGAGACATTCCCCACACATCACTATGAATCATCTCAAAACAATTAGAAGCACGATGAGCGCCTGACGGAAAAGGGAGGATTTTACTTTTAGCCAATTTGCAAACAGAACATGAAATAGGAGTAGTACACGCATGTTTATTTCCCAACAAACCAGTTTTAAATAAATGAGACAAAACAACAGAATTTGGATGGCCTAATTTTCTATGCCAATCCTCATAAGAGTTCAAAACAGTATTACATGCAAAGGATAAATGACTAGAACTAAACTGGAGTGGAAACAATCTTCCCACTTTAGGCCCCTTCGCGATCACCTTTCCCGACACCTGCTCCTGCACAAGACAACCAACACGAGAAAAACTAACATTACAATTGTTATCCACCAATTGACCAACCGACAATAAGTTGGAAGCAAGTCCGGGTGATACAAGCACGTCACGAAAGTTTGAGTCTATGTCACCAACATCAGTGATAGAAAGTTTATTACCATCAGCAATTTGAATTTGCTGATTACCATTATAGGAATGTACATTTTGTAAGTATTTAGAGGAACCCGTCATGTGATTGGATGCACCAGAATCAAGAAACCATGATTGAGAATTATTAGAAGACTTACCCTGAATTCCCAAGGCTGAAAGAGCAGAAAGTACCATTTGGTGAATCATTTCAGGTTGTAGAACACTACCGGTACCCGTACTGAGAGGACCAACTTCAGAGTTGGTAGTGGCATGGAATGCTTGAGTTGGACGTTGTACTGGTCGGGGAGGACGTGTGGGACAGTCAGAGATGATATGACCCTGTTGTTTGCAATAGTTGCAAAACTTCTTACTGCAATTGCGAGCTACATGTCCAAATTGTTTGCAAGAAAAACATTGAACTTGTCGCATATCACGACCCTTTCCTCTACTTTGAGCAGCATATGCAATTGCCACAGGTTCGGAACTAACAGCATCATGAGACATGGTTCCTTGCGTAAGTAGACGTTGTTCCTCCCTTAGAAGTTCACCGACACAAGTATCCAAAGAAGGAACAGGATTCCTATTGAGCAAAGCGCCTCTAACAATCTCGAATTCTGGACGAAGTTTCATGAGAAATTGATCTCGCCGACTTGTGTCGTAGACCTCTTGAACAGCAGTGAGAGAGGTTTTGGGAACATTAGCATGTATAATAGCAGAGTGTTCTGTCCAGAGATTCAGAAAACCAGAATAGTATTCTTGAATAGGTAGGTCACCTTGTTTGTAGTTGGCTATGTCTAGCTCCAATTGAAAACGTTTTGCCGAATTGTCCTGGTTGTAAATGCGCTTCAGATAATTCCATATTTCTTGAGCAGTTGAAAAGGAGCGCAAATTATTTATCATCTGAGGATCAATACTATTGAGAATCCAAGTGATGATTTGAGCATCTTGAGTTTCCCATACATCTGAAGCAGTTTTATCCGTCGGGGCCTTAGAAACACCATCTAAGTGACTCCATAATCCCTTTCCTCTAACATACATCTTGAATTGAAATTCCCAAGCCGAATAATTCTTGCCGGTGAAACGAACACAGAAGTTATCTCTTTCTTTTTCGGAAGCCATTGAAATTATGTTGTAATTAGATGATGTATTACTATAATAATAATAATTATTATAATACTTATTATTATTATAATAACAACCTGCAACCAAAAGGAACAAAGCTCGTGCAGTACCACCAATATATCCCAAGAACAGTACCACTCGTGAAGCCGTAACAATTCCAATGTTTCAATTTGGAATTAGCGGCGGAACCAAATTATAACCACAAACCAAATTAAAACAAAATTATAACCACGAAAAACAAACCGGTCACGACCTAGAATCAATATTCGTGAAAGGAGGATCGCAAACAACCGAAGTAAGCCGAAGCCCTAAACCCAGAATCACGATGGCAATCGACGCTAAACGAATTCCACGGGGAACGATCAAGAAGCAGAAACGAAGAAACAACAAACTGAATTGATCAGGGTGTTGTCACAGAACCAAGAGAGAAAAAAATCAGAACCAGGAAATCACAGGTTTGATCTACGAGGTTGATACCATGTCAAGAATTCTTGGCTTAATACTTTTCTCATTATTATTTCTCGTATATATAGAGGTTACAGGGCTATATTGGTAATTACACTAAATAATTACATTTTAATGAGAACAAGTCAATTTCTAATTTGTTTCCTTTATTCTAGAAACAAACCCTTATTCTAGGAACAAACCCTTATTCACATGAAGAAGTTTCTAGAGCCTATGGCGTCTATAAAGATTTACAAGAGTTCAAAGACACTTTGTCAATTGTCAGAGGTCTTCTGTTGGATGCTGAGTATAAGAAGGACCAAAAACATGGGCTGCGTGAATGGATGAGACAGATTCAAAACATCTGCTATGATGCTGAAGATGTATTTGATGGATTTGAGTTCCAACACAAAAGGAAGCAAGTTGTCCAAGCATCTAACAAAACTCGGACGAAGGTACGCTACTTATTTTCTTCCTCCAATCCAATTCTTTTACGCTCTAGGATGGCACATCAAATCAAAGAGATTAGAGAAAGATTGGATAAGGTAGCAGCTGATGGGAACAAGTTTGGCCTTGCTAGAATTGATGTTGGTCTTGAACCTGTTTTTCAGAGGAGAGAATTGACTCATTCCCATGTTGATGCTTCAAGTGTAATAGGAAGGGAGAATGATAGGGAAGAAGTTATCAAGCTTTTGATGCAACCACATCCTAACGGTGATGGTGATAAAAGTTTGTGTGTTATTCCAATTGTAGGAATTGGAGGCTTGGGAAAGACCACGCTCGCAAAGTTGGTGTTTAATGATAAGAGGATGGATGAACTTTTTCAGTTGAAGATGTGGGCATGTATCTCAGATGATTTTGACATTAGGCAAATAATTATAAAAATTCTAAACTCTGTTTCTGCTTTTGGTCCACCAAGTATTCCTCACAAAGAAAACATCAACAACTTAGATCCTGAACAACTTCTAAGCCGTCTTAGAGATAAGCTTTCTGGTCAGAAGTTTTTGCTTGTGCTAGATGATATATGGAGCGATAATCGTGCAAAGTGGGTCGAGTTGATAGATTTGATAAGCGTTGGTGCAATAGGAAGTCAAATCATAGTGACGACACGCAGTAAATCAATTGCTAAAATGACAGGTACTCTTCCCTCGTATGTTTTAAGCGGTCTTTCTCAAGATGATTGTTTATCTTTGTTTCTCAAATGGGCATTTAAGGAAGGTGAAGAAATTAATCATCCAGGTCTTGTAAAGATTGGAAAAGAAATCGTGAAAAAATGTGCAGGGGTTCCACTTGCTGTCAGAACATTAGGAAGCTCACTGTTCTCAAAATATGATTCAAAAAAGTGGATATCTCTTAGAGATTGTGAGATATGGAACTTTGAACAAAAGAAAGATGATATTTTGCCTGCACTAAAGTTAAGCTATGATCAAATGCCATCCTATTTGAGGCAATGTTTTGCTTACTTTTCCCTTTATCCTAAAGATCATGTCATCTTTGTTGATGATATTACCCGTCTTTGGATAGCACTTGGATTAGTACAATCTCAAAATGGAAGTGAGCAACTAATGGATATTGCAAGAGAATATATAGAAGAGTTAAATTCTAGATCATTTCTTCAAGATTTCAAACAACTTGGCTACCTCGCATTCAAAGTACATGATTTGATCCATGATCTTGCTATGTATGTTGCGAAAGAGGAGTGTGTAGCAGTTGACTCACATACTAGGAATATACCTCAACATGTAAGACACTTATCAGTTGTTGAAAGTAATTCTATAGATAAAGCTTTGTTATCCAACTTAAGAGGTTTGAGAACTATATTATTTCCCGTCAAAGGGGTGAGCTTTGGCAGCGAAACTTTGTTGGATACATGGATATCAAAATACAAATACTTACAGTATTTAGATTTAAATTGTTTTTCCTTTGAGACGTTGCCTTATTCAATTGCTAAATTGGAGCATTTGCGAGTTCTTGACTTATCATATAATATGAATATCAAAAGACTTCCCCATTCTATTTGCAAGCTCCATAATTTGCAAGTCTTGAAACTCATGGGATGCACAGGGCTTGAAACATTGCCTAAAAGGTTAGGGTGGTTGATTAGCATTCGAGAATTGTACATAACCACAAAGCAATCAGTTATGTCACTGATAGAACTTGCAAACTTGAATGATCTTCAAGTTTTGTACTTTTATAAGTGTGACAATATGAAGTTTCTATTCAGCGAGACACAACATTTTACTTTCCTTGAAAGATTGATTGTTCGATCATGTGGTAGCCTAGAGTCCTTACCTCTCTTCCTTTTTCCTAAATTACAATATCTTGCAATTTCAGACTGCCAGTTGGTAAACTTGTCGTTGTACAACGAAAGTCCAATCCCAAAATTGATGATGAAACATTTATATATTGGAATACTTACAGGACTTCTAACAATTCCTATTTGGATTGAAGGTGTTGTAGAGACTTTAGAGACCTTATACATTTTTGACCTTCCTGATCTTACAACACTTCCCGAATGTCTAACAACAATGACTCGTCTGAAGAGACTTTGGATTTCTCGCTGCCCTCAACTGTTGAGTCTTCCTAGTGACTTCCATCACCTCACTTCCCTTGAAAATTTATTCATATATGGTTGTCCTAAGCTGTTCAAAAAATATCAGCCTCAGTTCGGTGAGTATTGGCCCATGATTGCTGGCATGAAAATCACTTCAATTACAATTGAAAAAGGAATGATGAAGGAATGAAGTTGTTTACTCTGAAGGTAAATATAACATTTTGTCACTTCCATTATCCCTTTTAATTTGGTATCTCAGTCTCACCCCCAAAATCTAATGTTCAAATGCTTTTTATGTTGTGCACAAGAAATGTTTCCATTTTATATAATATTATTTTGTATCAAATAAGTGTTGGTTTCACCTCCTAAACTTTTTTTCTTGTTTGAAGAAATAAAGTTAAACTGCAAACGGAAATCTATATACAATGTAGTGTAATTTCTATGATTTTAAGAACACTAAAATGGTGGTAATAAGCAACAATGATGACACCTTGTAACAGCATCACCTAGTTTAGTATGTTGTAAATGGTTTGCTGTGCTAGTTATTCATTAGTAATTTTCATGACTTGTTGCGATTAATGTTTGTTATTTCCATGATTTGTTTGAGAGTAAAGTTTCCTTTATTTACATGGCAAGGTTGACGATGAGGTAAACGTGAAAAATGGAGACACGTGCAAAGAAGAAGTCAAGCAGTTGATTGATTGCATTGGAGAAAATGAATCTCAGCAAGAGGCTTCACATTCTCAAAATGTTTTCAACTTATGTTTGTAGCCAAAGAATTGAAAGTGGTTATTTTATACTTCTGAGTACTTAATGATTTATGTTTGAAATAAGATCTGTGTTGAACTAAAGTACTTGTTTCATAATGTATGTTGTTGAATACTATGTTGGAGAAAATGATTGCTACCAAGAAGCTTTACATTGTCAGGATGTTTGTTGCCATTCTACATTCTCAGCACTCACAAACATATTTGTGAGAACACAGCATTTGTCATTTTTTCAATTTATTTAATTGACTTGTACAATGATATTATATATCATATACCCAAAAATAAATTACAACTTGGTGACAAGTAACAACCACAAAACACATTTGACATCTCTTCAAATCATGAAAACCGATATAATTTCCATTTGACCGCCTATGTTAAATCTTTTCTCCTGTTGATGCTCTTGCCATACTGTTTAAAAATATATTATTTCCACATTTTCAGAGATAGAAAATTTCAGAACCTAGAGTTGTATGATTTTAAGAGCACTGATATGGAGGTAATGAGCAACCATGATGACATCTTATAATTTGTTTAGTGTGTTGTACATGGTTTGTTGTGTAGGTAGTTAGTTACCTATGAGCTATTTCCATGAGCTGTTGCGGCTAATGTTTGTTATTTCCATGAGCTGTTTGAGAGTAAAGTTTCCTTTATTTACAGGGCTAGGGCAAGGTTGACGATGAAGCGGGCATGGAAAATGGAGACACATGCAAAGAATAAGTCAAGTTGCATGCACTGGAGAAAATGAATCTCAGCGAGAGGTTTCAGATTCTCAACATGTTTTCAGCTTTATGTTTGTAGCCAAAGAATTGAAAGTGATTATTTTATATTTCAAGTACTTCATGATTTATGTCTAAAATTTAGTTCGGAGATGCATGTGCAACAATTATTTACTACTCGTGAACATATTTGTTAAAATATAATTCATTGTGTTAATTAGATTTGATTTGATATGATTAGATTTGATTTTAATATTTTGGGCCTTTTATGTTTTGAGCTAGTGTAAACCTAAAGCTATAAATAGGGTGTCTTGCTTTGTATTCTAATCACACCAGAACAGATTTCACAGTTGCAGTTAGCAAGTGAAAGTTCAATAAAGAAATCCCACAGTTGTGGGTAACACATTCTCTCCAAATACTTCTTCTCTCATTCTTCTCTTTCTTGTTTGTTATTCTTCTTTTCTTTATTGTTCTTGTTATCACCATTACTATCATATTGTGGGTTTGTTCATCAATCTTGAGATCAAGATTGAAGGGAATTCTTCATAGGGTGTGAGGTGAATTTCCAACATCTGGTATCAGAGCTCCGGTTGAGAGATTCAAGGAAGGAAGATAGTGATGGCGATGAACTATCTGAACGGCAACTTTCCGGCGACCCTGCCAATTCTCAAGAAAGACAATTATGAGAATTGGTGCAAGCAGATTAAGGTGATTTTCTGTTATCAAGATCTGTGGGATCTTGTGAAGGATGGAGTAACATCGCTTGGGGAGAACGCGACGGAGGCGGAAAAGGCAGCGCATAAAGAATTAAAGAAGAAGAATTATAAAGCACTCTTTATAATTCATCAGTGTGTTGATCCTGATAACTTTGAAAAAGTTAGCGATGTTGATTCAGCAAAAGAAGCATGGGAGATTCTTGAAAAGTCGTTTGGAGGCGCAGAGAAGGTGAAAGAGGTGAGGTTACAAACTCACAAGAGAACCTATGAGTTGCTTCAGATGGAAGACAACGAAAGCATTACAGATTTCTTCACCAGAGTTACAAGGTTGGTGAATAAAATCAAAGTATGTGGAGAAGCGCTGACGACGAAAGCAATTGTCTCAAAGATTTTGAGATCGTTGGCTCCAAAATTCGACCACGTGGTAGTTGCCATAGAAGAGTCGAAGAATCTATCAGTGTTGACGAAGGAAGAGCTTCAAGGGACTCTTGAGTCTCATGAACAGAGGATGGCTGAGAGAGCTGCAGGAAAGTCGAAAGATATGGCTTTACAGGCGCAGTCAGAAAAGGAAAGAAAAGGCAAAGGTAGCTGGAATGGCAACAGAGGAGGAAACCAGTCGAATCAGAAGAAACCTTGGAACCAAGGCAACCAAAGAGGTGGTGTTGCAGGTAAAGGAAGAGGTGGTGGTCGAAAGCCAGACAAAAGCCACATTCAGTGTTTCAATTGCCAGAAGTATGGTCATTATGCTAGTGATTGTCCAGAAAGGAAGAGAAATCAAGAGACTGATGCAAAGCTGGCGAAACATGAAGAAGAAGAAACGTTGCTAATGGTCACAACAAGAAATGAAGAAAGATTCCAAGATCAGTGGTACTTGGACTCAGGATGCTCATCACACATGACTGGAAGGAAAGATTGGTTTGTCAACATGAAGCCCTCGTCGAAGAACACAGTGAAGTTTGCAAATGACAACACTCTAGCAGCTGAAGGTGTTGGTGATGTTATGATTATGAGGAAAGATGGCAAAAGGTCAACAATTTCCAATGTGTTGTACATACCAGGCATGAAGAGTAATTTGCTCAGTATAGGGCAGCTTGTCGAAAAGAACTACAAGGTAGTTGTCGAAGACAAGATGATGAGAGTTCTCGACGCAGGTGGTAGATTAATTCTGAAGGCTCCAATGTCTCAAAATAGGACCTTCAAGATTGGACTAAATGTGATGGATCACAAGTGTCTAGCAACTGCAGCCAGCAGAGATGAGTGGCTATGGCATTTTAGATTAGGTCATCTCAACTTTAATGACATCATAGAATTGAAGAGAAGAAATATGGTTTTAGGATTACCAGAAATCGACATTCCAAGTGAAGTCTGTGAGGAGTGTGTTCAGTCGAAACAACACAAGAATAGCTTCAGCAAGGATGCAGGAAGGAAGTCGAAGGCAATACTTGAAGTCATATACTCTGATGTATGTGGTCCAGTCCAGGTGGATTCGATTGGTGGCAATAGATACTTTGTCACGTTTATAGATGATTACAGTCGAAAGTTGTGGACTTACCTCATCAAGAAGAAAAGTGATGTGATTGAGGTATTTTCCAGATTCAAGTCCATGGTTGAAAGACAGAGTGGTCGAAAGCTGAAAATTCTGAGGACTGATGGTGTAACACCCCCATTCTATACCCCTAAATAATACATTTAATCATTTAGGCACTTAATTACAATTTTATCAGAGTATAAACATAACATGGTATAAAAGAGGTGCGCTACATTATCCGTGAAACGAAACACATAAATAATATCTGCTCAAAAGATATGTAACAAAAGGGATAAATCTCAACTAAAAACAAAGCATAACTCTTAAACCCACACATCAACATTTAGAATAAAGCGGAAACATCTAAACATTGAATTACTTCATTAGCATAAGCTTGTTTACATCATTCAGTTTAGTTCATTACATCAGTTAAATGTACAAAGCATACAGCAGCAAATACATACACATATGTATCACAAAAGAATCAAAACAATTATAACTTCAAAAGAGCCAAAGGCTTCCTAGCTACCCAGATGTTACATATCAGAGCCATCGACCAAAAAGAAAGAAGACTAGCTTCACAAAAGGACCTCCAGCATCCTACTCTGCAATGCCTCGTAGAGCATTATAAAACAGCAGAAGGGTGAGAAACAATATCATAACAATTAATGCATAAAATTGTATATGTACATATACCCAGAATTATACAAGTCATATTCAATTTATGTTCTCACCACAATAAGCATATACAAATAATCATGTTTCTACACATACACATGAACATTTACTATATATTTCTCCCATGCCATCATATATAACATACACAGTTATATTCATTCAACTAATGCATCATGCACAGATGACTCATGCAACTCATAGAGACCGACACACGACTCTATGCAGATGCAAATGCGGTACCGACTCATCTCAACAGATTCTCTAAGGAATCGAGTATTCAGCAGATTCTCCACGGAATCAAGTACTCAGCAGATCCTCCACGGGATCAAATATTCATCAGATTCTCCACGGAATCGAATATTCAGCAGATTCTCCACGGAATCAAGTACTCAGCAGATCCTCCACGGGATCAAATACTCTAGTCAATCCACCAAGGGATTACATGTTATGACCGATTCTCCAAGGAATCCAATATAACCATCGTATCATACGAGGTTCTGCAATCCTCCGCGGGATTAATCAACACAACCATGCATATTGAGACATCACACAATACTAATCCTCCGAGGGATTTAATCAACACAATCATGCATATTGAGACATTACACAATACTAATCCTCCGAGGGATTTAATCAACACAATCATGCATATTGAGACATTACACAATACTAATCCTCCGAGGGATTTAATCAACACAATCATGCATATTGAGACATCACACAATCTAGGATTCACGCCTTTCGGCCACCCACAGCACAACATAGCATAATAGTGTACC